GAAACGAATCCCGGCGTAGCTAACCTCAACGTGATAGGCACGTCACCATAATCGAATAAAATAATTCGAAGTGGTCTGTGTTCTGTCGAAACTGCCAGACGCGGATCGTGATTTTGATCTTGTTGGATCTCATCAGCGCGTCGCAAACAGTTTGGATTATGGTAACGTGCCTATCACGCAGTGATGAGCTACGCCGGGATTTCGTTTTAGCAAGTAGATATCCATATATTTAAATTCACCTTGTTGAGAATACGTAATCCTAAAATGTAGCATTGTACTACAGATGGCGTTTACCGTGCCATTTGTGGTATTTTATAATTATATATATCAACATTAGACAGTCTTCCTTGCACTGATTGCAACTTTATTGAATTTGATTTTGGGTAAGTATAAAGCTTACAAGTATATATTATATATACCTTTATACTTATCCTAAACCAAATTCAATAAAGTTGGAATCAGTGCAAGAAAGACTATTGTTAGTCTGAAGTCTCTAACTGACGATGACATGACACCTTGGATGCTGAACCTCGTTTTAAGGTTTGAAACGTTTTGGTGTGGAATTTGGGTTTTAGTGGTTGATACTATTCAAACTCCATTTGATTTTATTGTATTTGAATGAAGCTAAAATTTTTCCTATACTATTTTAAAGAGAAAGGTATTGTTCTCTGGATTAAGAGTTATCTCCGAATGTGGAATACTTGAAACTCATCTCATCAATCTCTAAAGAAGACAATTTTGTTCCCAAAAAGTACACTGGACATTTAGTGCAGCGTTTTGGCGTTGAGGTTTCAGCTTTTTGGAGTGCTTTATCTGGGACTTCCATTTTTGTTTTCATAGTTTAATAATTTATCTACACACTATACTATACACACATGCAGACCATAAAGGTCTAATCTGAATTCGTCGGACAAAAAGACGAAACGGAAAACTATAACGATTAAGCTAACCGTCCAAGTCGAACGACAAAACGTAAAATGCCGAAGATGATACGGAGATAAAGATTATCTCGCCGTTTGCGGCGGATGTTTATGGTCGACGCTGAGCGTCGCCGAGACGAACTTCGACGCCTCTATTCAGACGCTCCTTGCTATCTGTCTCCACGTCGAAGACGCCTGTTCCCATTATAGCCGTTTATGCTGATCTTTTATGCTTTACACCATCAACACAATGTAACAAATACGACACGAAACCACATCGATCCAGCAGAGGGATTTCACAGTGAAATTCTTACGAAATCAATCAGATTGTTCACTTGTTTACTTATCTCACATTTTATAAAATGGTTGAACAATGATCGAAAATATACAACAAATGTTATACGGATTTGTAAGAAAGAATGTCGTTCATGCTGATGTAGAGATTTACTATTAATTGTGGATTACAGTTAGTTGGATGGGCTAATAATTGCAAGATTTGATGTCTGAGGAGAGCATAATAGTAACTTTTCAATTTTATGGATTTCAGTTTTCCGACGTTCGAAATATGGAGCAGGTAATGATGTGGGCAGTTGACACAAAATTCATTACACTATTGTGACGTTGCTATCTTCTCTCCTTTTTATTGATCACCCTGTATCTTATCGTTATATCTTTATAGCATTCCTTGAAAGTGACAGTCTGTAGTCATCAATTTCCCTCCTAACTATTGCAGACTGCTGATATAATATCAAGTTTCCCGAGCTGGTCCTATTTTCAGCAAGACTGTTTCTTCGTTCTCTCCCTCTCGGTCCCTTAATGGGAAATAATAATTAAGTTACCGGCAAACTACTGGGAGGTATAAATATTTATTCGCCAAAGTCAAAATCAATTACGACGGATATCTCCGGTTCGGTTCGGGCACAGGCTTAATAATGATTTAAAATTTGACTTTCATGGAGACGCTATCTGCGTCATTCCCTGTCCCCAAGGATGCACTCACATGTAGCGGCAGGAATGTACTTTAGAAGACAGAATAAGGGATAAGTTATGAACAAGACCGTTTCTAACATAAAGAGAATTTACCTGCTCCGTTTGATACTATATAAAGGGGCTGTGAAATAGCATCTAGTTTTATATTACCGTTTATCTACTGATTAGCTTTTTTGTCACAAGTTTTTCTCACTTTCGTTTGCTTCTGTTGTAACGTGTAGACGTTACACCAGTTTTAGGAGGGAAGGGGTAATGTAACGTATAGACAACTTACCATACTCGAAGAAGAGTCTTGGAGACCTAGAGCAGAGAAGAGAGACTAGTATAGAAGTCCAATGCTGGGTTAATAATCCGGACTTCGTTTCGGATAACATGTCGGTAAATCTCGAAGCTTCTGTCATCCGACCGGTAGTTGTCGCTTCGGAAAATCAACCGTTTTTTTTTTCTTTACAAACTTGGCTTACAACAGCAAAGTAAAAAGACTTATGCGTTCTATGATCCCACCACTTCTACTATTTACCCCTGCCATTACTGCGTTCACTCTTTGCTCCGACTCAATACAGCGTTGAGGCGCTCATTTTCATAGCAACGCCATCTCCTGGTTCTATTTAGAATTTCTTACTCACGTTTTAGTCCTCCATTTGAATTGGACTTCTATACTAGTCTCTCTTCTCTGCCTAGAGTGGGGGTTGTTTACAAGTTACTCTACGTAAGATCCTTGTGAAATTGGACGCGTTGAACTAGTAGCTGCTGGAATAATGATACGGTATTACCGTGTGCATACCTGTGAAGATTTTCTGTACCTGTAGGATGCATGCTTCGGTTCGTTGTTAGGTAGTTGAGGGTGGACTGGAAATGAACGTGTTTGGTTGTGTCATCGCAGCTGTTAGCAGTAGGATTTAATTGCGTTTCTGTGTGTAACATTAGCGCAAGGAATGCAAATTAACTAATAGAATAGAGCCGCGGAGTTACGACGGAATTTGATTTCCCCATATTACCGTTCTCTGTAATTTTACATATTCGCGTCGTTATTGGTTTTCTCTCTTTCATATATGTATATGTATGTATATTCACTGTACATACATGTATATGTTCCTGTATACCCTTACACGCATAAGACGGAAACAAAGTGATAAGGTGTTTAAAATGACAAACATCTTCGGTTTCAACGTATTTCCTTAAATCTTCTTTGAGACTAGAGTTCTCCTTTTATAAAATTAAACAATTTAGGGTAATTTGAAGAACATGGAGTGCAATTTTGACCAAGCGTATTCTTTGTGGGGTGACTTAAAATATATACCAGTTATGATTATGGCAATATCGCCTAATAGACAAATTAATTCCTTAACAACTTTCTAAAGTACTTTTTAATAATGTGCTTCTATTTTAAGGAAGTAGAATGAAAGTCTTCTTAAATCAAATATCTTGATTGTGACTTTAATTAAATATAATTATATATAATAATTCGAAGTGGTCTGTGTTCTGTCGAAACTGCCAGACGCGGATCGTGATTTTGATCTTGTTGGATCTCATCAGCGCGTCGCAAACAGTTTGGATTATGGTAACGTGCCTATCACGCAGTGATGAGCTACGCCGGGATTTCGTTTTAGCAAGTAGATATCCATATATTTAAATTCACCTTGTTGAGAATACGTAATCCTAAAATGTAGCATTGTACTACAGATGGCGTTTACCGTGCCATTTGTGGTATTTTATAATTATATATATGTAATAAGACAATAGCATCTATATATCTATACACACATATATTTGGCTCTTCTATTTTTAGACAAATATTAATTTTACGTTTAAATTAACACAGGTGCTAAATGGGGTAGTTTGTAGTTTGTTGCATATATACGAAACCCTGCAGATTATGTTCAATATACAAGTGGAGAACCTGATGGTTATACACATATTACATTATATACAATACGTAGGTTATGTGCAACAAAGAATCTTCGGGTGTTACGCTCCGGTGCGCTAAGTCAATCAGCGTCTGCAATACGTGCATACAATCACGACCAACTTACGTATGCGATAATTATTAATGCGGTAGACTTTGATGAACTTAGTGCTCATCGAAGTGTGTGCTGTGTGTGCCGATGACGACGTCGTTGACGATGCCTCGTCGGTGCCGTCAACGTCAGCACGACTGCATCGCCTCCACCAGAAATAGCGGTGGTGGTGCTGTAGTTGAGACAAGGGCTGATTTGCGTGAAGGTAAGGGTGAACGTGGAACATTGTTGTTTGGGATGAACACGCAGATGCTGTTAAATCTGTAAAGTCCGTTGTGTATTAGTACTTATGAGCGAGAGAGCGGCATGGCCTAAAGTTTTAGACGATTGCTTAGAATTCGGAAGGACGCCGTTCGATTCTGGGTCAATCTGTTCTGGTCCAAATTTTTCTGTGGTTTCCTTGGATCACTTAGGCAAATGCTGGAGCAGTAATATTCCACAGAGTTTCGTTCTCTTCTGTCTTCATCTCGTCATTTCGGACATATGCTTAATTTTATAAAACCTATCTGCCTTTCCACTGTTCAATAGGTCTAAAAAAAGAGACAGAATATAAGTAGATAGAATTGACGATTGCTCCACCATTCAGCGGCGTGGCCTAGAGGTTTAGTCCATTGCTTTGCATTCGAGAGATCGTCGGTTCCATTCCGGGTTCGTCTACCTTGTGCTCCAAGTTTTTCTGTGGTTTCCTTGGATCACTTAGGCAAATGCTGGGACTACCCACCCACCAGCATTACTGGTTGGTGGGAATGAAAAACCCAAAAGCTTTGTTTTTTACTTTTGAGTAATACGTCTTCAGGATGAATCGTAAATGAACACACGGAAAGCTAAAACCGAGTACAATTGAGCGGCGAGAGTTTAGTTAAGAAAAACTACGGAAACACAATTCCAATTTCTTGTAACTAAAGAAAACGGTATAATTGTGAACTCTATACGATTATTAAGCCATAAAAGCCTAACTGGCGAATTTGAATTTTTCCATAAAATGAACAAAAAATGTTAACGAATGAAGTAACCATTATTAAAATAAAGACTTCGGAAATTGGTAGCAGAATGGTAAACTGTCTTCTGTAAATTTCGGATATCTTTGGGCTACACTATTGCCAGGAAAAAGCGAACCTGATACATTTATTATTTTCATGCTACGGATAAACATATCTATTTATAGTAAGTGTATTTCCAAAGGAAACAACAACCAGAGGTGCCTGAAGAGTATGAGAGGAAGCGGGAATGAGGGTAAAATGAGATGAAGGGCTCGAGGGTTCTACGAGCCACTAACTCGGAATTAAGTTGGTTAATTTTGGACTTCCCCGAGTCGGTGTACACATGAACGAGCACCTGTAAACTTGCTATTATTTGTACGTATTAAAGCGTATACTTTGCTCGAATAAATTGTGCTAAACGATTTAAAGCCGCCGGCATGGCCGCAACCGCCCCCGGCGCCACCGCCCTCGTCCAAGTCGCTTTATTAATCAGGTTCTCGTTAGAACGTTGTCCTGTGTATTCATTAGCACACCTCTACAATTTAATCATCTTGTACCGTAGACCGGAAAACTGGTAAAACAATTTTTTTCGCTGGGTACAAATTACTTACAGCTTCATTAAACAATTTCAATTATAACTGACAGGCTTTAACAACTTTGAAGACATATTGTCTGTGGTAAGCATTGACGAATATAAATTTGACAACACGTACAAATGTCTCTCGATTACTTATGAAACGTGCTACTAAATATTGTGTTTACCCTACATTTAAAAATTGATTTTTTAAGAAATAATATTAAAGGCTACAATTTATTCGAAGAAGTCTATACTTGGATTGCATTTGAAATGCAGGTTGAAATAATTATTGTAATTATAGTATTACCGATGGTTTCGACTGCCGTATGTCGAATCTAGATTCAGACTGTCCCTTCTGACGTCTAGGTCTTTCCCCGATCATCGGATGGCTGCGTTCAGTTATCCACAACCCAAACTTCCATACATTGGCTACCATAGAACAAAGGTCATTGCAAGGTATACTAAACAATTTTAACTTCCCTTTGTCGAAGTGAGCAAATCGCTTGGAAGTCCGTCCAGTCTGAACTATATTGAAACCACTCGCCACATCATTTGACATTTCTTGTTTTACCAAGTCTGCTGGTAACTCCTTAAATTCCTTTCAAGTATTTTTATTTTCTATCTTTTGCACTTTGCTTTTTCGAACCCTAGATAACACCAACAAATCTGAACGTTTTTTTTTATGTTTTCGCAGAAGAGGGGAAATCTTTAAAAGACACCCAGCCGTACGAACGACTGGGTAGCGTCGGATTCCCAAGGAAGGTGTCCTCGGACCTGAAACTAAACTAAACCTGATTGATTTGAATAGCTGATGGAAGTACCACAAACGGTGTGGTGAACGCCATCTGTGACTTTAGTGCACATTTAGTGAAAACCAATAAATTCAACAATGTGAATGAAGGTAGGCTAGGTTACACTAACCACTACGAACTTATTTGTCAGTCCTAGGGCTGCTCGGACACGCACCTCCACTCTTTTCTATCCTGAGCTAATCTTCACATTTTCCTAAAACTACCTCTACTCCTCCTAACTCCCGTTTCTGCCTCTAATATGTTTCTGATTAGATCTTCATACCTGAAGGTGTCCTCCCAACCTATCTCGCCTATTTTGTATTGACTTCCATAGAGTCCTCTATTCTCCTATTCTTTCTAATACCTCTTCATTTCTAACCTTCTCTATCCACGGTATCCTCATCATTCGGCTGTAACATCACATTTCGAACGCTTCTAACCTTTTCTTTTCTTCGCACGCGATCCAAACATACACCTTTAACAATGTTTTTCGAATTTATAAATTAGCAGTTCGCGAGCATAGAAGTGACTCTTTTTGTTGAAGATGACTCGATCCTGCGCTATCTTCTGCTTTATATCCCTACTATTCCTTCCGTCCTGACTTATCTGACAACACCATAAAGTTATGACTTAGTTTCATAATAAAAATACAACAATCCGGAGAAGATATTAGCCATTGTTTGACGATAGTTTACGAGAACAATAAACCACTAAAATTTATTTTAGTATAATTAATTGTTTATTATTTTAATCTGAACCGTTTATAAAGAGTCGTTAAGTATAAAAGTTATTTTATAAAGCGATAAAATATGAAATGCTGAATCATAATTATTAGAGAATGCTAACCACAGGCTAAACCACCGCCGGCGGCGGGTTGTACGAGGGCTAAACAGTGGATCACCCCCCATTCCCGCTGCCCCCCTTTCAGACCACCTCGATTCGCGCTTTCTGTGCGGACCGGGATTTCCAGCACGTGCTTTGATAAAAATCAGTAATTAGTAAGAGTAATTATGGCAACTAACGAGCTTTTTGGTGCGGGCAACGCGCCATATATTCAGATTTAAATCCCAGGATCAAGTGGGCTGCGCGCGGTGATGGTCATTTATTTCGTCAGATTTTGCTTTTTAACTTTAACGCTAATCCTTTTTAAAATTCCCGCTGCCGTTCGTTTTATATTCATGAAGTTGAATGGTCGTAGATCAGGAGATACCGTGTACGTACATGTACGCCATACATTTAGCATTAATTAATCAGTGAATGAAAGTAGGCCTAAGAGACGCGCGTTTGAAACAAATACTATTTGAGAATATTTTTATATGTAATATTATTCTGAAAATGAATTTCTTGAATTCTTTTTTTGCCCCACTACACACTTCCTCAAATTAATGAGGAAAAATTTGTTGCTGTTGTCACACCCCCGCCGGGAATCGAACCCGCGTTCTTTGGCTTTACGCGCCAATGCTTTGACCACTAAGCTACGAGAGATGACAACAGCAACAACGACAAACCGTACTTATTAGGTCACAAATCCGTCGAACTAATATATACTATGATTAAACATACATACAATTTTTTTAGACATCTTTTAGAAGTGAGTTAGTTTAATATGAAATATTATTCTGAAAATTCATTTCTTGAATTCTTTTTTTTTTGCCCACTACACACTTCCTCAAATTAATGAGGAAAAATTTGTTGCTGTTGTCACACCCCCGCCGGGAATCGAACCCGGGCTCTTTGGCTTTACGCGCCAATGCTTTGACCACTAAGCTACGAGAGATGACAACAGCAACAACGACAAACCGTACTTATTAGGTCACAAATCCGTCGAACTAATATATACTATGATTAAACATACATACAATTTTTTTAGACATCTTTTAGAAGTGAGTTAGTTTAATATGAAATATTATTCTGAAAATTCATTTCTTGAATTCTTTTTTGCCCACTACACACTTCCTCAAATTAATGAGGAAAAATTTGTTGCTGTTGTCACACCCCCGCCGGGAATCGAACCCGGGCTCTTTGGCTTTACGCGCCAATGCTTTGACCACTAAGCTACGAGAGATGACAACAGCAACAACGACAAACCGTACTTATTAGGTCACAAATCCGTCGAACTAATATATACTATGATTAAACATACATACAATTTTTTAGACATCTTTTAGAAGTGAGTTAGTGTAATATGAAATATTATTCTGAGAATTCATTTCTTGAATTCTTTTTTGCCCACTACACACTTCCTCAAATTAATGAGGAAAAATTTGTTGCTGTTGTCACACCCCCGCCGGGAATCGAACCCGCGTTCTTTGGCTTTACGCGCCAATGCTTTGACCACTAAGCTACGAGAGGAGATTTTTATATGTACTTAGTATAAAAACGCAAGGGTCCAGCAAATTGATTCCGTGAGTGCTTTCCGTAGAAGAGTTGTGGAGTTAAAAGAGCTTGTAAAAATGTCCCAATAGGTATATATCTATGTATTAAGGTTAATTCAGAAATTCATGAAGTATGACTCTTACAATCACAAACTGAATTCCAAGCGAGTGAAGCTACTATAGGTATTTGGAGCTTGGAAATTCGGATCTCTTTAGAGAATCGGTCACCGGCATTGGGTCATTTGAAAGACTTGGATCATAACAGAGTTCGTGAATCTCATCAGTGAATCTTGTATCGGTGTGGCACCTGTATTCATTATAGGATCGCGATCAAGGACTCAATACTGCTGAAATCCGAAACAAATAATGGGGAAATTTAGGAGCAGGGAATCTTACTAATGACGATTATTTATTCGGATTTCTAACATAGAACTGTAATTATGTCTTCAGTTTCTTGCTTCCAAAGGAATCAACAATACAAGAATCGTTTGTTGTCCTTCACG